CCCGTGCGGGTTAGGCATGCACCAGCCCCTTGGCTGACCGATGCAATTAGGCGAGTTATGTCTAAGCGGGATAGGGCTAAGTCTAGGCTCAAGAAGGATCCTACAGATTTAAATTTAGCCGCTTATAAAAAATTGCGAAACATTTGCAACAGGATGTGTAGGGATGCTAAACGCCGCTATATTCATTCCTCATTAGATTCTTTGTCACAAGCTCAAACCTGGAAATTTTTGACGTCCCTAGGTGTGGGCAAGATCACAAATACTGCCATAGGTACCATGGACTTAGGTTCCCTAAATATACATTTTCAACTCCACCAGTTGTAGTTGATGACGCAACTAAGTCTGCTGCTCTGTCTTATTTATCAAATCTTGCCCCACCAGACTGCCCCCCTTTCAGTTTTCATTCGGTCGCGGAGGAGGTTGTTAAAAAGAGCATCCTTTCCATATCCACAAAGGCCGTAGGTGAGGATAACATTAGTCTTAATATGCTCACACCTGTGTTGAATGACATTGTACCAGTCATCACACACATTATAAACTTTTCTTTGATGGACAATGTCTTTCCTACAGCATGGAAAAAGGCTTTTGTTATTCCTCTACCGAAAACCTCAAACCCCACCTCTCTTTCCCAGTTTCGTCCGATTTCTATCCTTCCTGTCCTCTCTAAAGTCCTGGAGAGTATTGCTCATAAGCAACTCTATTCCTTCCTTGTCACCAATAATCTTCTTTGTCCTTTCCAATCCGGATTCCGTCCCTCTCACAGTACAGTTAGTGCCCTGCTGAATGTCACAGAGGATATTCGCTTTGCGATGGACAATACAAGACTCACTATTGTCACACTTTTGGACTTCAGCAGTGCATTTAACTCGGTGGACTTTGACATCCTTCTAGCTTCCCTCCGCTCTATTAACATTTCTTCTCCTGCGATCGATTGGTTTCATTCTTATCTTCATGGTCGTCAGCAGTGTGTGAAAGCCAATGACGATTCGTCGGATTGGTCTAACTTAACTGCTGGCGTACCACAAGGCGGTGTACTCTCCCATTACTTTTTCCATTTTTATTAATAATATCTCACGAGTCATCTCTTCTCCCTACCACCTGTATGCGGATGACTTGCAAATTTATAGACACTTTTCTCTACTTGAAGTATCTCAAGCTATTGAGGCTATAAATAATGATCTGGCATCAGTTCACACTTGGGCTAAAACCTTTGGGCTTCTTGTGAATCCTAGCAAATCACAAGCTTTAATAATAGGTAGTAGTAGGTTAATGAGTGGGCTTGATCCTGCAAGTATTCCACTTGTCTATTACAATGGCATAAGTATCCCATATACTGACAAGGCCAAGAATCTGGGCGTCATATTTGACTGTCACTTATCTTGGTTATCTCACATTAACGGGGTGAGCAAGCGCATGCACTTTTCCTTTCACTCTCTTAAGCGACTCCAGAATTTTCTTCCGCTCAAAACTAAAATCATGCTTGCACAAGCACTTCTTCTTCCTATTCTGGACTACGCTGATGTCTGTTACCTGGATGCGACGGAAGAATTACTCAATAAGCTTGAGCGACTACAAAACCTAGCTATCAGATTTATTTTCGGACTACGTAAGTTCGATCATGTCTCAGAATTTCGTGCTCAGCTTAAGTGGCTTCCAATTCGCCTTCGCCGCGATGTGCACATCCTGTCCACTCTCTACAACATCCTTCACAATCCCGCTACTCGCGACTATCTCCGCTCCCGCTTCCATTTTCTTCCTCCAGATCCCCGTCCTAGGCGCGCCTGCATCACTAAGGTGCTGCAGTGTCCTAGAGCGAACACCAAATTTCTTTTTAACTCTTTTTCTGTAAAAGCTGCACAGCTGTGGAATAATCTCCCCAGGACTATACAGGAAAGCCCCTCTATTTCTGTTTTTAAGAAGAGAGTAAAAGAGCACTTCATTTCTCAACAACTTTGATATATTTATGTATGTTTATGTATTATAATGCTTTTTATGTAAGTATTGTTTATTTATTTATGTAAGTAGGTATGTATATTTATGTATGTACGATATATTATTCAACTTAGTTATGTGTTCATTTTGTCAAATTTTTCTTTTTTAATATATTATTGCTAATTTGCCCCAAAAGTTTTAAGCTCTCACACAAGACATGGGTTGGCTGGAAGAGATCTCTTTTAAGAGATAAGTTCGCCCTTGCGACAAATATTGTAAATATTTTTCTGTACATTTTATGCAATAAAGAGTATATATAAATAAATCAAATATTTGTTTAGATCTTTACTTTCTTTAAGTTTTGATCTGAATGTGAATCGTATGAAGAATTTCATAGGCTCCAAATTTTTTAATTAGAGTAAAAGTTTTAGTTAACTTTGTGTGGATAAATTTAATTTGATTAACCTTATCATGATCTGTACAATTTTGCAAGTAACCTATGTGTCTCTTCCTGTAAACAAATATGTTTTCTTACTAGTTTCAACCGTCATCCATCACATCAGCCCATAGCAGTCTACTGCTGAACATAGACCTCCTCTAGGGTACGTCACAAGGCACGATCTCCTGTTTTCGCCAGCCAGTCGTTACCAGCCGGTTTCTTTAAGCCGTCGGTCCATCTGGCCGAAGTTTGTATAACAATACACTTGCCGAGCTGTGGCCTCCACTCAAGAACTCACCTACTCCATCGTCCATCGGTTCTACACAGATGTCCAGCTCACTGCCACTTCAGCTTACATGGTACAATCCCATGATTAATCCATCATGATTTATTTTTATTTTTATGTTTATAATTACTTTTACCTACATAAATCTTTGTTCATTAGAGTTTACGACTTGAAAGTTAGTGCTAGACAACTTTCTTGTAGCACTAAGAAAGTTGGTCGTAAAAATATTGAAGTAGCTAATAGCTAAACGCTTCTAACTATAAATTAAATATTAATGTTCTATGAATTAACCAAGAAATATATGTAAAATAATCTCCTCTATCGTTTGAACTCCGTCAATAAGGTGAAATCGTTTTCAGTGTTGGCATAGGTATGTTCTTTTGGATCCGATTATAGAAGAGAGCAGCAAAGGGAAGCAGCGAAGGCTCAAGCTGGATATGAAGAGAGGTGAGTCGTAATAATCCACATTTCATGGTCCTACCGACCTCTCGTTAATTAGATAGAACTGCATGCAACCGAAACAACTACAAATCAGACAGGAAAAATGCACCAGTGTCTAAGAATTCCAATTTGACGATATGTTTTGGATTGGGCTGATTTTGAAGACGGTAGTCAATAATTAAATCGTTTTATTGTCACTTGTTTATCAGCTTAAGTTACTGGCCTCCCACTATTGCTGACGATGTGGTGACATATGCATACCATTGCACGATGGTGCCACTCTGCACTTTGCGCACAAATTTTGTTGAGAAGCTGACGCTGCGTTTAGGCCACGCCACATGATGAGGTCAGCCTGCGTCACAGCTCAGCACTCACTTGCGAAGCGGTCTTCCATTTTTTTTTTAATTCCTTGATGATAGATTTCAAGAACACGATGGCAGCTGATTTAGATCGGACGGGATGTCTCGCTCGTTAGATTTTTCATTCTGGAATACTCGAATGTTCGGATGTTCTTTTTTCCACTGGACTCCCTATTGCGTATGAAAACACGAATGCTTGAGTTCATTTGGGGTTGAAAGTTTCTATAGAACTTTTTATTTTCACATCGAATAATTATACGCAAAGGGAGAAAGCACTAGACTTGTCTAAATATGCAAAAGCACGGCCTGAAAGCTTGGGAAAGTGGCACCATGCTTTTACTTGTATGCGCCGTAAATTGTAGTAGCTGGCACTGTATGTATTGACTGTGCGGGAAATGCACAGACCCTTTCTATTTCCAGAGAAATGTTGTTTGTGTACCTACCGCGATTGATTTGTAGTAGGTATTCAACGTTAGTTGTTCGAAGACAGTTTCCTAGGGCTGTGCTTAAATTTTAAACGCTGTATAAAATAATATGAACTATGTTTTTAGGGATTTATTTACTTTGATGATAGATAATAAATTCTTATTAAAATTCAAGTAACAAAATATTTATTAGAATTTGTCGGTAGCAAACTGCTTACAGTGAAAATTATGATCTTAAAAGATCATTGTACTTATGCAGTCACAGATTAGGGAGACGGCACGGGGCGCCTTTACAGATGCCTCACTCAGTACTAGCGACGTTTTTGACGCTTACTGACGTTTACTGGAATGAACTGAGAAGTTCACTGGAATTAAATAGAAGTCAAGGTAACTAAGCAGATGGTTGTCACGAACATCATCTATCTTGCATTGAAATCGGCTCAGAATCATACTTGCGTTTTTGTGTCAGATTTAGCTGTACTGTATGTCATCATTGTATTGTATCTAGCAACCCTGGTTGTGTAACAAGTGACAATCGCGAATATTCTAAATGGGTTCGAGTGATTTTTCTGTACACTCTCTATTTTGCGATGCAGTTGCCTTATAAACAGAAGCCGTCCAAAACAGAAGTTCTGAAATAATAGGTAAACCAATAGTAGGTACCTAAACCTATAGTCCGACAGGTTCCTGCGAGGTACAGACGGTGAGGGGGCGAGTAAGCACGTCATTTTAATATGACGTGCGGCGCGGATGCGCGCGTTTCCCTTCCCCGCTACACCTCCCGCTACCCGCTGACATCTCCCCTCCCAACGTCTGTCACCCCTAGGGAGGGTCGCGCACGAACTTGCCGGACATAGTAGCTTTAAATCTAACTCATGTCAATGTCCCGTTAAGTTGAGTGTACTTTTTCAACCTGCAGATTGTTTGTACACCGCAGACTTTCATTTATTGCACCCTCATTGCCCTGAACCGGGACTTAACAGCAGCTGTAAAAATTACTCCTTGCAACAAAATGAGAAGTAATCTACGTTCCCTCAGTTTTATTTGATCGTGTCTTTGAGTCGTTTATTTTGTGGCATTCTCACAAAGACTACAGGCACTGTTTGAAATTGACAGCTGAAGTTGCGCAGTGGAAGAGCGACTGTCTGCTACGCAGATTGGTTCCGGGTTCGATTCCTGGCTGGTCACTTACAATGGCGATATTTATCATATCACTTAGTGAATTTGTTCCCAGTCTAGTTAGGTCATTGCAGGCTGTGCCACTTGATTGTCCGAAAAGCAAGACTGTTCAGTGCTTCGGAGGGCACTTGAAGCCGTCAGTTCTGGCTGCCATCAATGATTACATGGACAGCGGTCGTTACACCACCATATCAGAGGCCTGCTTCTTGTATTGTAGTAGGGAGTTAAAAACTTTGACACCAGGGTTCAGCGGGTCGTTGCATGACTCAGTGTCCCACTCGAAAAAAGAGAAACTGTTTGAAGAACTTCAGTAGACTGAGTAACTAGGTACTAAGTTAAGTATATAGAAATGTGCTCATGTGCCAGCTGATAAACTTTGGATTTAAAAATAAAGCTAGAACTGGTCACCGATTTAAGAGTAGGTAATCCGTTGATGGCGATAAGTAATCATCGGAAAGAATCAAAGCACGCCAAAGTTTCCAGGAACATTTTATCATTTTGCTTCTAGCAAGACTATCTTGTTATTTATTTGTGTTCTATCTTGTTTTGTCTATTTGTTTATTCCTATTCTCTCTCGATTACTCTCGCGCTACTCTGTTTTCTATACTTTCTCCGCCACTGAAAGTCTGGGAATCACTTTTAACTATAAAACCGCCTTTGCGTTTACTGCTTCAAATGTATTTTATTTTTATTTTTGATATTTTTGAGCATGAAAAGTTTTTACTTAGTTGTCAAGTTTCAAGTTTCTTGCTTACTTGTTTCTAATAGTGTCTTGACAAGGAAAGACGGAGTTTAGTTGCATCAGCGACCAAGGTCGAGGAAGGCCAGAGTTGGGACGACGACCTGTTCGACCGATGACCACTGCGACGCTAAAATGTACTTTCATTATAAGAGATTTATTTTGAGAAGAATCGACCAAGAAAATGCTTCACTCGTCCTTTTCAAAATTCACTAGGTAAATTGTTGCAGCTTGCTGTGGGCGTAGCTTATTGCTAAACTATGCTGTGGATAACCTGGCCGAGTACTGGCTAATATAAGAACGAATCTGCTCTAACCCTGCTTTAATGGATTGGCTTTTTCGAGGCGTATTTTTCTCTACAGGCAAGGAAGTGGTGGTTTGGCGAGCACAGTACCTACTAGTTCTGGCGTTCACATGGTAGTTGTTGTCTATTCTTTCACCGAAATGGACTGATACTATTCAAGTCTCTTAATAATATTTACATTTGATCTCTGCAGCAGCGATGTGAAGCGCCGTTTTAGTTGCCCAGCATCTCGTAATGATCCCGCACTTATATTTTATTGCATAAACCGCTCCGGCGCGTTCGCTGCGCCGGCGCATGCCCGAGCCGCGCTTCGGACAACTGTCAGAACCGGACTCTACAATATATCATTACTTTGTAATGTTAGCAGTTTGCACCATACATAAATACATACATATATCACGCCTATATCCCTTGCGGGGTAGGCATAAAAGGCTATATAAATCGACCATTTACACCACGTCTGACAACAGTTTGAAAGTAATTCAGAAGTTTGCATCAACTGGCGAATATTTTCCTTTTTCCTTGTGAATTGCTTTACTTGTGGCCGTTGTGCCCTGTACTTTTCTTAAAACAGGACTAGGTATAGGCAGGTAGGCAAAGAATCGTAAACAATGACAAATCACTAAAATCGAGAGTTAAAACTGAAAAGTATAATAAAAAAAGAAATAAAATGCGAAATATAAACAGGTCTTACCTAAAACGAAAAAAATACCGTATCTATCTTTTAATACAAGCATTTGATGATACAAAGATGGACATGACGATGTGACCTCTTAACTACGCACGAACGCGTGTTCAAGTAGATTCAGTTTGTTGTACGAACTAGAGTTCAAGTTTGAGGTCAAATATTGTCTGTGATTGCAATACCTACAGTTAAATCGCTTACTACTTATGTATTAACACTTAATTATCTACTTACTTATCTACATAATATGCATATTTATACCGGGAGTAACAAAAAGGATATAACAAGCCGAAAGGAGGTCAAGGAACTTATGATACTGAACAACTTTTCCCAGAAAACATGGGTTGAAATGTGAAAAAAATTATTGGTCCTCCCATAGTAAATCAATCAGCTCTGCTGATCGGCGACTTTATATGGGAGGTCCACATTTTTTTTCATATTTCTACCCATGTTTCACGGGAAAGTTGTTTAGTTTCATTCATGAGTAGGTACCTTTTGACCTCCTTTCGGTTGTTATCCCCTTTTCGTCATTCCCTGTGATTTAATAACTGTACATTTATAGTTACTAAATCTATTAATTGCCTTCATTTTTATGAACAGTTGAAAAAACCACCTAAACATGTTATGTGTAAAGAAAAAGAAACCGCCATACAAAAGACATCAACGCGTTATGCGAACAAAAATATTAACTGTTGGTTATCTTATCATCATAATTATTATGTTGAGATGAATAAAAATATACTTAGTTTAATTATAAAATGCGAGATTTTCTTCAGAATTCCTAAGAATTATTAGATAATTAATAATGTCGAGAAATGCAAACAATTAAATACTTACCTATTGGGTACTATAATGATGCTCAGTCTGTACTATAATTTTTATATTCGAGAAGGTATGCATTCACAAAATTACAGGAAAGCCTTATAAAAGTAAACGATAAGAAACTGTTGTTGTTGTTCTGTACTTAGTAGGTGTACTCCAATAAATTTCCCGTTTTGGTGAGTCAGCATTATCTTCGTGTGTTTGTTCACAAGATAAATAGGTACCTATGTAGTTCTTGCAGTAAATAAACTACAGAGATAACCTGCCACCTTTCCTTATTTTGCCTTGTTTTGTTGCACTGAGCAAAAAACCAACTACGCTTTGATTTAATTGGTATATATCTACCTAATTGTATTCAGCTATGACTATGACATAGCAGCTATCTCCAAGTTTCTACCCTAGAAATAATAACACAGCAAAATTTTACAACAGATGATTGAGTTCCCAACAACAAAAACATGAAAATTGGTTTTTAAATTCCATTATTAGTTTTTATCTTTATATATACACGTTAGTCATGTATACCTAACTTTCTATACTTTAGGTACAAAAATTATTAACAACCAGTTTTTCATAGGTATTTGAATTGTAGACCAAAGATGGGTATTATCCATATTATTAGAATTTGGATAATCCCTTCGAGCTCACAACACAAAACATTACAATGCTGTTTTTGTAGGTGCATTGTGATTCTGAGGTAAGATTTTAAAATAGGATGTAATTTATAAAATCCAGTTATTAATTCTGCAACAATCAGTTGATCACGATTCACGACTATTGTTGACTTGATAACTATCTAGTCATAAGATAAATGAAATTGCCCACACTATTAATTTATAATAACTACTAAACGACCGATGGATGAGGTTACTGTAAATACCTATACGGGGTGTAAGGGACAGCTCTCCGAATACTTATACAGCGCATTCAGACCCTAAAACCACAAATTAAGAAAACGGCGCGCGGGGTGAACAACTTTCCTTCCCATGACTTCCCATAAATAATAATAATAATATTTTTTTATCTACACTTCATACATAATGTTCCTATTACAAATTCGAAAGCAAATGTATAAGCAACTGCTTTACAGCCATTCAGCCTTTAAAAAAAATGTCGATGTCATAAAGTAAGTACTTTTTTCTGACTTTATGATATCGACATTTAGCAGTAAGATAATAAAAAAAAAACAAATGTCACGACACAATCAAAGAATGGGACGACACTTGAAATTATGAGGACTTATTTATTATTAAATCTTTGCTTCAAATCATTTTCCGAATTAAAATTTACCGATTAATGCTTTTTAATTTTAAAAGTTGTTCCGTTTTTATGAGCTTCCATTTTAACGTTTAGTTAAAAAGTTACTTATGTATAAAAGTCGTTCAGTTGTTGGTTCAGTAGATATGCTTGCAATCGCCATAGTGAAGTGCGGAGGTAAGTATGAATTCTTTTTCATAGTTTTTCTTGTAAAGTGTAGATAAAATAGTGTATGCAATTGCAATATAATTAGGCTTTAGAATGCTCGTGTCAAACTATTATCACACTCGGCTGCGCCTCGTGTGATAAACAGACACTCACATCCTAAAGCCTCTTATTATAAGGCAATTGCATAAACTACTATTATTTGGAACACCAGCAGTTTTTACATATTATGTTTTCTTATTTACGAACTGACAAAAAAATGAAAATACTTAACAAAGTGCGATCAGAAAAAGCGGCTAACTATAGTCTACACTCTACAGATATTCAGCCGAGGTGAAAAACTCTACGTCGCCGTTTTCGAAACACACTGTGTGGACTCGGGGTGGCAGTATTCTTAGCCACACGACTCATTTAGGTAGAAATGACTAAACTAAATTCTTTTTGTAATCTGTTTCCTGACTGTGTGTGCAGTGTAGGTAATGCAAACGATCAGCGTCAGTGTTGTCTCTACATTTACTCGCAGGCGTTTTTGTAGTGCGTAATAAAAATAACAATAGCAAGCTGGGTGTCTCGCGCAGTGACGTGTAAAGATGCATTTATAATCCCTTATACCCAGGGGTTGTGTTGTTTAATTAAACACGTTGTCTTCCTCCCCCCTCCCGCCATTATTCCGCGTTTTTTTGTAGATTCCAAGTTATTCAACTTTTTAAAGTACCACAGAATATACAAGGAGTAACAGAAAGGGTATAACAAGCCGAAAGGAGGTCAACGTACTCATGAAACTGAACAACTTTCCCCATGGAACATGGGTCGAAATATGAAAAAAAAAATTGGACCTCCCATACAAAATCGCCGATCAGCTAATTGATTTACTATGGGAGGTCCAAATTTTTTTTTCATATTTCGACCCATGTTCCATGGGGAAAGTTGTTCAGTTTCATAAGTACCTTGACCTCCTTTCGGCTTGTTATACCCTTTCCGTTACTCCCGGTATAATAGTACTAGAAAGTACTTAGTACTTAAGTTCAATGATTTA